TGGATAAGATGTATTTACTTCAATGCATAATTATTTGACTTTTCTTACAAGTTACAAGGTCTAAGTAAGCTTAGAGGATTGCAATAAATAACACAAGGAAAATTTATTAATTACATTTTTTACTTAATGAGGCATGAGAAAATTATTACGAAGTAAGCGGTTCATAGAAAACATATACAAACAATAAAAATAAGATTCAGTAGTATTAATTTTATATAACGACAGAAAATATACCAGGTTTACATAAAGCGTGATATACAACTTGCAACAGGTTCGTCCGTACATGGAAAAGGCAACGAAATTAAAACAATAAAGCAAGTTGACTTGTGAAATTGTTTTCGGTAGATAGTAAAATATTTCTACTGGGTAATTTATAGGCTTACCTATTTTAGCATATTACAAAATTTGCAATGGCATAGTTTCCGCGATAAATTTGTCTGTACGATCTTTTTAAATATACTTTCTAAAATCATTACATTTCATTCTATATGGGGTCAGCAAAACATGTTTTCATCCTTCGAATTATTCCTTAATCCGTCATTTTTGTAAACCTTCCCTTTTTGCCATAACTGGTTTTTTTCTCTCTAATTTGTCCATCACTGATTCATATACAACTTATTTTAAAATTTCACTTATTTAGTTACAATGTACATAATTAAGCATTACTCCCTCATATTTACAAATATATATTTCGTTAGCATAACTAATGAGGTTGAACTGAATACTTACGTGGTATAATTACTCAGTACTTGGCATAATTTCGCAATTCTGTTCTAAAATTTGACGAACTTAACCAAATTTTCCGCAAGGGATAATGAGAGGAGTTGATTTGAAGTTTCTTTGGCTGAACGGAGTACAATTGTAAAAATTAATATCTTTGATTTTTGAACTTTGTTCTTTATGATTACGAATATAATTAATTATAGTTTTTAACCGTACAAATACTACTCAACCCATTTTTTCTCTCTTTCCTCTCCAAAAAATTTTAAACTAATTTACGTTGCACGAAAATTTCTGGATTTTTCTTTGCAATCATTTTCAAGAATGCAAAAAACACAGACCGTACTTTGTTAAAATGAATTAGGTACGTTTAATTTGTTCTGACGCGTTGAAAATTCCCAAGTCAATTTCGTTGATTTTCTTTTATTACAAATTCGTTTTTATTTTGAGCTACATTGTCCGAATTGACGAAGGTTGACATTTTGTATACAAATGTATATAGTATACATAAACACGCAAGCCAAGATGGTGACAGTGCAGTATATTATAAAGTCATGTGATGTATGGTTCGTATACTACAAATACTTTTTCTTCATAATAATCGTTGAAGGTGTTTCTGCATAAGATTGCTCTGTAATTTATACGAAACCCTTTTGTAAGTTTGTCCATATAAACAGAATTGATGTCTTCGATTATACTTTCAGAACGGAAATGACTTGAATGGCAGTACTCATACTCATATTACACTACTAATTGTATTAATCTATGTTGTGATCTTATCCATTTTTTTATTTCCTTTCTAAACAAGAATATTAGGCTATTTACTGAATAAACAAAGGGTTAAAAAGTTCTAACGTTAATAATCGCCATTAATAAGAAAAACGGGCTCATGGCAAACCATCAGTGTAGGTTACGATTATCACACGGCCGTGGAAAAAGATTAGCACATTGGCCGTTAACGATCCTGAAAACAGAGCTACACTCGACGACCCCGGAGCCAGAGGAATAAAACGAAATTGTAATAAAAGTAAATCGACAGACGCCGTTCTAAGCCCCTTCTACGTGCTTCCCAGTCCAAGTTTATTCGTTGCAGAAAATTACGGCCTGTTCTTCAACCCGGGTTAACACAACCTTTAGATAATATTATTGTAACAACAAATCAACCTTTGTATTCACAATTATTATATTTCTCAAAACGGTACTTCCCCTGACTTAAATGTTAGAATACAAGCTGTAAAATCTTACTTTAGTTTCTTTTAGCATAGGAAGTATTTTATCGTTAAAATAAAAGCTTCTTTGAGTTAAGTTTTAGATGACTCGAAGTATTAAGTTTTCTATTTCGGGTTCTCAGTCATAAAAAGTTTATAGCGATGTAATCTCTTTATTTATAGATATTAAGTAGTTGTTTACGACTTGACCTAACTGTACTGTGACTTATGGTTTAGTTTACTACCTAAAGTATATTTAAGAACTGAAGTAATTGAAAGACTGGAAGTCTTATTTAAACATTTATATTTTCATTTTATGTACGTTTTTGTTTAATACAACTGGCCGTTTTAATCTGACGACATTCGGGGAAACAAAAATAAAATTTTCGGTCGGAGCAAAAGAAAATCAACGAATTGAACTCGGAAATGTGAATGTGCTAGGTTAAATGAAACGTTATTCATCTTTACAAATTACGGTTCACGTCATTTGGTACACTCTGAACATGATTGCTGCGAGACTCGAGGGATGGAAACTTTAATGTATACTGGGTATTAGTATGGAAAACAAACTTGGAAATACAGGAACAGACTTTACAAAATGGACATCGTAAAACTTTGTATTGAATTTTTGTAATTAGCCATGAATTAATATGTAAAAAACCAACCATATTACGTCTGTTGTGATTGTTCTTTTGTTACTATTACTTTCCTGGTTTAATGATTTGTGTCAGAAGATGAAATTATAATCAAGAACAGAGTTTTAATAGAGCAAGAGGCAATTGCCGAGTTTTAAAAAATTACGTAAGCAAATTAAAACGTCGTTTTATTGATAAATTTTAAGTAGTTGATGATTAAATTTTAAGTAAACATCAGGAATGTTGGCTATTTATTTTCAACGCATAATAGTTTAGTATTAATAGATGTTGAATGAAAATTTCTAAAGCTCAATTTCAACGTGCTTTGATGATAGGTACTCTTGAAATTTCCTACTTGAAGTTGACCAACTAATCCAAGTTTTCCACAGCGACTAATGAGACGAGTTTGATTTGAATTTCTCTGTGAGACGGAAAAGTACACTCCTATATTGAATACGGACTTTAAATGAACTAGACTTTTGTTTACTGCAACGTTCAATAAAAGAGACGCAACATATTAATACCATTGCATTTAATTGAGATGTATTTTCCTCTTGATTTTAAACACACCAAGTAAGAGAGTTAGGAAGGTAAATAGTGAAAGGAGATCGTTCACATATGTTATTAAATGAAAGCTACAAAAATACGTATATTTTTAACAACAGGAAAGCAACTAAGCAACATAAACAAAGATTAATATTGAAATGACGGATGATTTCAGCATTTTTGAAACATCTGGAACAGCGAGTGGGCGCACCGTAATCCGCCTTTATTGCTTTTAGAATGACAATAAGCATAATATTGTGTACCGGGAAGCGACGCTTAAATATAATGCACATGTCCAAATAAAATATTACTTACTGCTTTATATGAACACATAAAATATGAACAGGATTTGATAAACCTTTCTTAGCAAATTGATAAGCCTATATACGTGAGATTCATATTACGGCTAGACTTGTATTTCAGCTGTAACCTAATACTACTCTTTGATAACCGATCTGAGTGTCTATGATTGAAAGTTTGGTGTGCGTTTGCCCGCTTCTTCAGTTACGATATATAAGTGATACCTGCTGTAGGTTGGTGATATTTTAGATTTCAAATCACTTGGTATATTATGCATAATGTGTAAAATGTTCTAATCTGTGATTAATGCTATCAAATCTACGCTAAAAATAAGGTCTCCAAAAATTTCTCAAGAAACGTAGTTTCTTTCTATCATTTTTTCTTAAAAAGCTAATTAATCATGTATTTTATCATCATCCTTGCACATTTGCAATATTCCGAGATATCCCGTTTCAATGAAGTTCGAGCGCTATACACAGTTAATTAGTTAACCAACACACATTGCTACGAGGAATGGTTTCAATTTAACTGAACAATAGACTCATCAATGCGCTCCATAGTTACATGCTTCATGTTTTTATCTTACGTGCTCAAAATTTTAATTATTCGCTCTGTTAATTGTTGAATGAAATTACGTTGAATTTTACACTATTAAATAAAATTGTATTGTATTTGGCTGATTGATCAGTATGTTGTTGGTTTCGAAGTTAACTAAGAAAGATTGTTAATTGTCCATTTGTTGTTTTTTTTAACATTAGTGCCCGCTTTAACATCTTAGCACGAAGGGGCCGGCACGCCCGGTGTAATACCACGACCACACAGAAGTCTGGCGTGAAATGGAAGCAATTCCGTGTTTCGTCTGATGAGTGTGGTGCCGGAGGCCTAATTTAAGTCCCTTCCTCTTTACCACCCTTTTCTTATAAGGAGAGGATGGGAAGGGGAAGTGGATTCGACGGTGGAGGAGATGCATAGGAAGGGGCAACATCTTCTTTATGTGCGTCTCCTTCTCCGTCGGATAAGGGTAGGCAACGCATCTGCGATCGCGGATGTCTATGGGCAGCGGTCGCTTCGCCATTTCGGCGGTTTCAGGTGGCCGCTTGCTAGTTTGCCACCTTATGTTATAAAAAAATACTATCCTGTCTTAGCTGTAGACTTATACTGAAATATGGTTTACGAAAATAGTCGAATTTTTGATTACGTGGTTAGAAATCCTTACCGTTAACCATTAAGCTATTGGCGCTTACAAATATACATTATCTAGTAAATCCTAATAAGTATAAAGCATAAATATATCTAACACACTTAAGCAGAAATCATTTTCACTCAAATGATCAACAAAGAATGTTCTTTGTCGCAAGTTGTAATGAAAAATGTAATCGAGTCGAGTGCGAAATGTATTGGAATGACGCTACAAAGGGCTGATTCAGTGCTCTCTATGCATACAAGCGATTTAAAAAGATTCCATATAAAATGCCAAAGATACTAGTGAATAAATATACATATCAAACGCGAGACGGTTAGGGATCCATTACTAGCCAGGGTATTGCGTTACATTCGGGACGGTTGGCCCGAGCATTGTGAAGTAGAAAATATGAAACCATACTGGAATAGACGAACTGAGCTGTACGAGGAGTTAGGTTGTGTTATGTGGGGCCACCGATTGGTGGTGCCCGAACAATGTAAAGGTAAAATTTTAAAAATCATTCACGAACCACACATGGGCATAGTAAAGTCGAAGGCACTCGCGCGTAGCTACGTGTGGTGGGCGGGCCTGGATGAGGCGGTGGAGCGAACGTGCCGGGAGTGCGCGGCGTGCGCGGCGCAGGCGGACTCGCCGCCGCGACAGACCCCGCGCATGTGGCCTTGGCCCGCGCGGCCCTGGTCCCGGCTTCACCTCGATTTTTTGGGACCTATCGCCGGGAAAACTTACCTAGTGGTCGTGGATGCGACATCAAAGTGGTTAGAGATTTTTAATATGTCGGGCATCTCCGCAAGCTACTTAATTGATCGTTTAAACGAGTTATTTAGCAGATTTGGCATACCGCGGCAAATCGTAACTGATAATGGGGCGCAATTCACCTCAAAAGAGTTCGAGTATTTTAATAAGTTTAATGGCATCGAGCACGTATTCACGGCCCCGTATCATCCGGCGTCGAACGGGTTAGCAGAAAACGCCGTTAAAACCCTTAAACGCGTTATTAAAAAGGCGATACAAGAAAAGCAGAACATAAATAGAGCTTTGTGGTCTTTCCTACTATATTATAGAAATGTGGAACACTCTACGACCGGCGAGAGCCCAGCTATGCTCCTGCTCGGCAGACGGGTTAGGACGCGTTTGGACGCTATCAAACCAGATAGGGAAGGTCACGTACGGCGGGCACAACAGCGTCAGCAGGAGGCGGCCACCGGCGCTAATAGAAATCTCGATAGGTCGGACGAGGTTTGGTACCGGCAGTACCTCAAGGGAGAAAAGTGGATTCCGGGTCAAATAGTAGAGGTTTTGGGGTCTAGTAGTTACAAGATAAAAGGTACAGGTGGGGAGGTTGTGCACAGGCACATAGACCAGCTGCGGAAACGACCTAGCGAGGGCAGGTTATCGCTTGCCTCTGCCACGCCTAGGTTAAGCAATCGGGTAGACGAAGCGAACTCTCAAGGCTCAGATCCCGGTGGCGCGGGATCGGAGGAGGACAAGTCGGAGGTGTCGGCGGGAGCGGGGACGCCGCGCGCGGTCGAGCCGCCGGCGTCGCAGCCGCAGCCCGCTCCGGCTTCACCGGGCGGGGAACACTTATTATCTCCTACCAATATAGGGAGGGGTCGCCCCATTAGGCAGTGTAGGTTAAATAGGCCTAAGTAGATTCTGTTATGGTTTTGTTGTTATTAAATATTAAATGGTAGTTTTAAGGACAGTATTGTAATAAATAAGGAAAATGTAAATAGTGTAATAGTTTAAGGGAGCATTGATTTCGTCAATATTACTAGAAAAAAATGTATATGCTTTGAGAGTGTAATTGTAAAATAAACATGGAGGGATGTAATGTAGGTAACTGGTAATTATTATAACACGACTTATATTATTATACCCTGTGAATATTGGAGAATTGTATTCAGTCGGATTATACATCTTGGACAACACGCACGTCTTTTATTTCGTACACCACAGTATTCGGTAGTATTTTGCAGTAATAAATTAGTAACTCGTTTAACTATTTATATTTCAATTCTCGTCTCGATTTAAGTAACACAAATAAAGGACACAATTATTTTTTTAAAGTATACGGTTGCAAACGAGCAAGCGGCCATTTGAAACCGCCGAAATAGTAAAGCAACTGCTGCCCATAGACGTCCGCAATTGTAGATGTACTATTTTAATATACTAAGTTTGCCTTATTAAGAGAAAAGATGAAGGTTTTGTTTAGATCGATATTGTTTATACTTCACCTGGTAAATAGCAGACGTTTAGCAAAATCCTTGTAATGAAAGGGATTTAACTAACAAACAAGTTTTATCTCCATGGAAGTTTGCGGCGCACCTTAATCCTTCACGTGCTTATCTCCTTCCAAACAATAAAGTAACGATAAACCGGGGCTTTTAACTTTCTGCTTTCATATTACACAATATACTATATTTATACATATAAATATAAATAAGATATATGTGAGATTTAATGCGTAATGTTTTTATTATTTTTATCTACGTTATATTTATAACTTCTTAATCTATAGAAAATAAAATAGTAAGAATAGAAAGAGGAAGTGAATATTTTTGATATTAAAGATAACAAAAGTATTTACATATGCAGATATTTATGGTCGGCTATCTCTTTATTTTATCTATACTATAAAAATATTTCTATAGATTAAGAAAATATTTTTTTTATTTTAATCTGTAAAACCTTTTAGAACAACAACAGATATAAGTGATTACTTTAATGGTTCTCTTAAAAAATACGTAGACATTTTTTATTATTGTAATGGAAAAGATTTTTCGGTTCTCATTCAAGTAAACATTTTTAAATGAAACTTAAATTTCAATACCTTGATACGGCTTTCAGAAGCATAATTAAATTTATGTTCACGTATAAATTACACAAATACTTTAGTATTAATATCAAAAACGATTTAACGGAACAAAATAAACTTTGTTTCATTTTACAATCTGTGCAATTCATTCATAGTTACATGCACAGAAACAATTGAGACTCGCCACCATCCAATTGGAAGCGATAACGCTCATGTTACATTTATACTCGACTGCATGCTGTGCAGTTGACCATCCAGAACTGATACACTACGTGGAAGTATACAGTATCCTCCGTACTGTATTTTAAACCATTCAAGTCTTTTAGTAGGTAAGTACAGTACATTTACTTGCCTGTTTCGATGTTGAGAAATTGTCACAACAATATTTATACTGTACGTTTTTTGGTTCTAAGAGCAGACGCACGCCTATGACTAAACTATCACACAACTGTTGTGCGATTGTCGATTGTTTCACAGCCCTTTCAACTGTTTAGTTGCACAACTAAAAAGCATGTAGTGTGCGCACGCCATATACGGTCATAGGAATCAAAGCGCGACTAAACAGTTGTGCCATAATTTAAAAAAGGTGTCTGCCCTTTCTAAATGTAAACTAAATTAACTTCTTGACAAATTGAATCTTTGACCGTGTTAATGTGAGAAAAAATACATTTTTATAAGAGCATGTCAAAATAAACATAAACTCAGTGAATGTCTTAACTTCGTTCTACTAACATTGTTACGAAAATAATCGTCATCATCTCCTAGATTTAGGTAAATATAACTTTTGTCTATTTTATTGTATGTAAGATTACGTATAAGGTTATAAATAAATATACCCACATCATCAAACCCTTTTAGGTTTATATTCCAAACAAATATGAGGAGACGCATATCCGACACTTACCTCCATCAGGTGGGTTCTCGATTTCCTATAATCCATTTGGCAAACAACGTAAAGTCGTGTCGAAGTGATTGATGTGCGCCTGCGAGAAGGATCCTATTGTGTGGAAATTTTAGAGTAATTTTAGAAATAAAATCACATTATTCTATCTTTTTTTTGTATATGTTAGTATACTTCTAGTAACTTGTAGTGGAGTTCCGTAAACCGTCGACACTACTCCGACTACATTTTTTTATTTTCCAGGCGAAGCCCCTGCCTCTCAAGAGGCGTAATCTGTCACTAAGTAAATCTTCAAGTAATCATTAATCGCATTTAAGACGAGTTAGGTATTTAAAATACCCTTAAATTAAACGTGTGTAGCAATAAACAAAAAGTTGTATAAAGCATACAAATGTGTTTGTGGTTAATACATTTTGTTTGATAAAAATTTTGTTTCATAATTTGCGTAGATATGGTTTTTTATTTGCATTTCGTGCCCAGCAAAACATGTTTAGCAATTTTTCAATCTAGTAACTGCATATATTCATTCAAAATATCAAACACAGCAAAACTACATTTTTTAAGATATTTTTGCTTTGACTAGAGGCTAAAGTAACTATTACGTTTTGTTTAATAAAATATTACATCTAACAAGAGTTTCTAGCAAACAGTTTCTTCAAAGAGCTCCATACTTAAACAAAGCTTTTTCCAATTGCCTTGTTTCAAAGCATATATTCAACCCTCATACATTAAACATACTTCATCTTCTTCGGTTGTCTTGGAAGCAAGTCCCTCAAAATTTACTTTGTCACGTTTACTTCTCTAAAACCCTTACTATAGTAACGTTTAGGAAGATTTATTTTACGAAAACATTTGTAATAAAAACCTACTGAAATCTATTTCTAAACCATTAAAAACCTATTTATTGAACATACTAAAATAATCTTGTTTTAACTTTAATTATCTAATGAAAAGGAACTTGAATAGAGTTTCACAAAAACTGAAAATAACTTAGCTACATTGTTCATACAGGTGTGTTGAAATTTTTACTGGAATTATTTATATACAGGAATTATGTCGCTTGATGCTTTAAAAGCATTTTATTGTTCGGAACGCGCAACGTAGTTACGTCGAGAAAATGGAATACTGCATTTCGCGTCCTGCGCCTTCGGCTGTGAAAGAAAAATATTTTACCGACAGCTTTTCATCTTTCATAGTATTTTTTAATCAGGTTACCTGGTTTTAAAGCTTTATCCAGAAAGTAATTCGAATTCGAATTTGATTCTGTCAACTTTATAACTGTAATACAATGTAAGGTAAAATTAAATTGCTTTTAAAGTGAAATTAATTACGATAGACATTATTTTAATATAATTTTTGAATGGAAAATATTGAAACGTATTAATTAAATGTTGGTAAAAGAACTAGTAACGTTTGAGGTTATGTTAAAATATCTTATAGAATGTTCAGGCGCTAAATACCATTTTACGGACAGTTTACGGTTAAAGAAAAGAAGGGCGTCCTGTACAACATTTATTGTTGTCTGAACACTTTCGGTGAAAATACCTTATGTAGATTATTTTTTATACATAGCACTTAATGCAGACGGATGTATACGCATTTTGTAGATCTCAGTCCCCTTCATCAATATCTTCAAACCTTAGCGATCTCAGAGGATTTAAAGATTACATTCCAGACATAAAATGAAAATAATCCACAGTTAGAGAAAATCATTGCTCTTCTAGCTTATTGCAAATAAAAAGCAAAATGTGACGTTGAATATTATTCCATAGAAAAAGAATTGCATTTCATTGTATTGCGATATGACGTCGCGGAGCGTAGCCGCCTCTGTTTAAGTGAGCAGCTAATCCCACCAGTATTAAAATATCTGTGACAATATTCCAGTCGACAGGCGTTCTCTTATTAAAAGCTGCAACACAAGTCCCTATACAATATCACGTGACCTTAGAATAATATTATCATAAAATAAACCGAAACAATGTATTATTTCTAACTTATTTAGGTTATATGTAAAAGGAAGACAATATTTAAAATGTAATGATGTCACTCGATTTTTATTAATTACGAGCTATCGCCGCAAACTTTTCTAGCGCAAATTTGAACCACCCGTTACGCCATTTTGACAGCACGGAATTAAAAAAAAGTGCCTATAATATGCTTATCCATGTCAGCTACCCTCCAGTGTGAGTCCCGACGAAATCGGTCCAGCCGTTTCAGAGATTACCCTGAACAACGCGGCTTGTGGACAGACAGACAGACAAAAAAATTTAAACGCGATTTTCGTTATCAGCAAGGTAAATACGTCATCCAATTTTGTATAGATGTAAAAGATAGAATAAGTGTTAACAAAAAAGTAATATGAAGTTTAAGTAACTTGGACGTAATATTCAGTAAGCAAGCTACCATTTCATTATGTTCAGTGAATTTGTAATATGTATATACAATTTTGAATGAAGTTGCTACCTGGGCACATCTTAAAATTAATGATTCATGTAACAGCTTTGTTCGAAGACGAAATGAGCCGAGTTTACAGTTTGATAACAACAGCCTGCTTACGACAGAGCTTGCTTGCATTTTGCATAAAATCGATAGAATGCGGCAAGTTATTCTTAATAATAAAATACAATTTTCATCTATTTCTTTCACGTATGTTCTAATGAGTGCTTTCAATTATTATAGTGTTTTGATTTGTCCTATCTCCACCAGGACTTGGAATTTATTCGTTTTAACTATTGGAATATTATCAAAATAATATTTCTATAAAAAACTGTTTCAGTAGTAAGTCTCCTTTGAATTGAGAGGAACAATTTTTCATTCTATGCTTTAGTTTTCTGCACAATTCATTTATACTTTCCAATGATACAACTCTTCGTGATGCAACCTTTTTAGAGTATCATCATCATCATAAAATTATCTTAGGCAGTGGCTAAACCTTCCTTAATTTTAGCTGCCCATGTAGCAGCTAAAATTATCTTCCAGGTTTATTTAATAAAAGACAATATATTAGAAAAGTTTATTTTTTTATTTATCAACATTATAGATAAACAGCTAACAGTAACGATGCCTATATTTTCTATAGATCCTTCAACAGGGAAGCTTATTTATAGAAATTTTATAATCTACCATCATGTAAATAGAAGCTAACAAGAAGCAATGATGTTACGTTAACTGCAAATATCCGTCGAAGAATTCTGTTTAGACCTTTAACACACTACAGCGAAAGCGAACAGGAATCATAGCGAACTAAATATTGATACAAAAGTTAATGCATGTAAGGTTAAAATCCTCGCACAAAGTTTATCTTGATTGACCTGCATTAGAAGTCGCTTTCCGTTCGCTTTACCTGTGTGCTACAGGCATAAACAGTGGAGATTTTATCTGTACTATTCAAGTCAAATAAACAACACTTTAATCTTATTGTACATTTTTTACAATATGCTTACGGCAAAATTATCTATACATTTTTACTACAGTTATCTATACTACTCTGTTTACAAAGCACGCAATATTGTCTCTTTTTGCAATAACGTCCTATTTAAATATTAATTTATTTACATGATATGTACAATCTCTAAGTTTATATGTACTTTATAAAGAAATAGTGAATGAGCCACGAAACGATTTCACAGTTCTTTGTTCAGCTCGTTGAAGTGTATGATGAGGGGCTAAATCATATACTTCTTCTTTCAATTTATATTTTTAGTGTATTTTAGAAGAAATATAATAGTATGAAGAAAAAGTTCGCAATGTTTTGAAAATAAAACTCATTTAATTCTTCTCTTTTTTTGTAAATAAATTAAAATCGATATGACCAGTTATTTTGATTATTAACCTCTGAAGTGGTGTTTTTACCATTGGGCCGTTCGTACACATTGAATCAATTGTCCCAATGGGAAAATAATCTTATTGGACAAAAAAACCCGAACGGAGAACATCCGTAGCTAAACTTCCATTAATAAAACGGTATTTGCTTGGTTCACATTTCTTAGTTCAATAAATGTTTTGGTTAATTAAATCTTTTGTACGCAAAAACAATTTATGGATCAAATATCACAATTTAAGATTAACTGCCGCGTTTAGTGTTGTAGGGATAATTGGACCTAAGCTGTTCCTTTTTGATTTCCCTACTAAATCTGCACTTTGGCTTTGCTTAATGACAACACTGCATGCGGCAGGTTAGGATATATTTTACGGATAATACATACTAAATTTTAATCATCTAATGATGTGTTTAATGGCTTAGATATGGCACGTTTCATAAAATCTATCAGTCTTTTAATTATTAAGAAACTTAATTTTACGTATTTATTTGGAGCGAAGACTAATTTGTACAACATTTTAACTTCAATTAATTTAAACTGAAATAACTATAGCTCTCTGTTTTAAAACTAAAAATAGCTTCATAATAGTAGTGATAATGGAGATAGAATTTAGCTACCACATTAACGACTTGTATATTTTAGTCGTCAAAACATATTTTAACCGATCATAACTATTTGAAATTTATATTTACATAGTGTTTACAATATTTTGTGACAATTGTCATTTCGTTGCCTTACACAATCATATTGGCACTTATTAAAATAATTACATTAATTGTCAACTTAATAATGATGCTGTTATCAGAAGGCTTAAGGTAGCCCGTTGAACTGCAGATCTGGACGATTGCGTGGACTCGTAATCTATATAAGGAAGAAAGTATTATGCAAGGATGAACAATCCAATTTATTTTCTTTTTAAAATTAAATTAGTCATGTTTTAGTACTAAAAAGGTTTGTTAATGGATAATTTACTTTCCAAACACTCATTAATACTTGTCATGACTTTGTTGTTTAAGGTTTTGATGCGTCTTTACTACTGAGGGTTTGCCTTACAATTTCAACAAGCACCCTTAAATAAATGCTAATTAAATGTTGTTAAAGCAAAGTAACCATACTTACCCATATCTTTCCATTCTTCGACTTCATAATCACCTATAACTCGGTTTTCGGCTGAAGACTCCCTCCATCGATTCTTATTTTTGCCTAAATAATGTTAAACAATCGGTCATGAATTTACTAAATATATTTCTTTTACGGATGTATTTTTAATTTTAAAAGTAATTTGGGTCTAACAAAAGGGAAAATCAATGTAAATAAATTACAATAACGGGTAACATTGTCAAAGAGTAAACAAAATTGCTTTTACCACAATATTACTAACGACCCAATTCTTCGCAAGCATTCGGCCACGGAGGCAAAACCAATAAATACAAAAACCACCATCGACCTTTTCATTCCTAGACTACACAAGTGCGATAAATTTATAAACGGCACGAGGATTCTGAACTTTACACTGCTATTTTTAACTCGTGTATTTATAACTGTGTGTATTGCATCTGACTTCATAGTCAATAATTACAGACTTAACAGTGTTATTAAATAATCTATGTTCTGTCTATACTAATGTTATAGAGGAATGATTTGTATTTTTGTATATATTGATATCACTCAAAAACTGCGGGGCCGATTTCAAAAATTCTATCACCATTAAAAAGCTACGGCATCAGTGAATAACATAGACTAATTTTTTACATTTTTTTAATGTGACGGGGACGATGACGCGAGCAACAGCTAGACTATAAAATAAAGTATTTACCTTTCTTTTTGTAAGGAAATGTCGGTACATAGTTGACTGTAGTACTGATTGTAGAAGGAGCAGGGATTTCTGAAAGAACATTAACAGTTGTTTTAATTTATAGGAGTTTTGGATTAAAAATATATCATATTTAACTAAGAAGTACCATCAAGTCGAATGAATCCATCAGTTTCCCCGAGTGAGTTCTTCGCAACACATCTATATGATGTGAAGTCCTTATTTGACACTCTTCTTATAGTTAACTTCATTATTCGACTATAACTGTCGTCAGTTAGCGAAGTAATATATTTATTTCCTAAAACATTACTAAATATGAATGATACACAAAATAATTTACTAAACAAGATAAAAATAATTAATAATTTTTATGTTCTATTGTTTTTGATAATTAAAGTATTATATTAACCTGATATAATCATGTCGCCTCGATCGGTTGTCCAGTAATTGATAGATGTTGGATATGACTCGGTGTGGCATTCCAGTGTCACGTCTTGTCCTATGTAGGCAGCTTCCAGTTGATTTGGTATTGACAGCATTGGTGGGACTAAATTGTAAAACAAAGATTAAGTACGAAATTAAATAAAATTAAAACTTAAAACTAATTTTACACTTTCTAGGTTAAAATTTCTCTATTCAACAAATGTATTACAAAGCTCATACGGTAGTTTAGTGGTAACGTAACGTGCATGAGGATTGCGCCGATGTTAATCTGAACGTTAACATTTCACCCCACCTAAAGCGAAGAGTCGCTCGATATGAGATCAAAGAGATACCCTGAATGCAGCCAATGAAGTATATATAACTGGTCAGCTTTACTTTCAGAATGCATTTGCTTAAACAAGGAAAATCAAAATTTTTACTTTCGAAGGCATAAATTCCTTTAATATTAATAAATTGAGTAAGGATTATTGAAGTCACATCACGGCATTAAATGACACCGACCTGCCTTTCATTATAATAAAGTGTTGTGGGTTAATCGAGTGAAAGTTACGTGAACATTCAACGTCACCTATTAGAAACGGCAAGGGGAAAAAGTAGCTGAGATGAGAAACGTGAATTAAGGAAAAGAAAACCATCTCATTGGCTTTCAAGGCGAGAAGCGTCGGTCGAGACGAAGAAGGGGCCTGCGGAGACTGCGGGGCACAGACAGAATCACCATTATCGCCCTCGTGTCGTATTCACGTCAGCATAATGCTCTAATTGGGTGCAATTACGGACGAGCCCGTGGAAGACCCCGTCAGGTAGAGCTCCCGTCTCGTAAATACTCGTTAACGGCGCCCGCCTCGAGAAAAATAATATTTCTCAAACCTAAGTACTGCCAAAACGAAATGATGTGAAAAAAACTGACGTACTTATGATCGGATGATTTGAGGTCGATTCAATGAGGCGCTATAAATGTGCTCGCTATTCCACGTAAATTAAAGGCAGTAAAAATTTGATTACAATTATCTCTGATGATGTCGCAGTTTTATGGGTTTTTTTTATTGCTTGCTTTAAGTAATTGAAATTCTTAGATGTAACTTAAAAAAGTGGACGTTTAGCGATATAGATGCGATGAAAATTATTTCAGGTAGTCAAAACTAATGTTTCTAACATATTTAAAAAGAAATGACTGTGATACTTACATTGAACCATGAGGACGACTCGTTTGCTAATCGAGGGCGGCACCCCGTTAGATGCTATACACAAATAAGCTCCCATGTGCAGTCGAGACACTTTAGATATCGTCAAATTTTCACCATCCACTACGTTTACTGAAAAATAATCGAAATAAAGTTTAAGTTCATTCCTATTTGTATTACTTTTAACCAGTTAAGTTACGGATACTTTTTCCGAATGTGCCTTTTAATACTTTTTCAATAAATAATTCTTGCAAAAGAACAAAAAACACACGTTTTTCGAAATACATTTAATTTTAAAGAGACTTTACACGTTTGCTTTGTATCATTTTACACCAAAAAGGGCACTAAATAATATGCGTTGAAATAATTTGCACATTTTTTCATGATGTTATTTTATTTTATTATTAAGGTATGAAAATAGGTAATGAATTACCGGATTCTCCGTTACAATTAAACTCTTGTCCATCTTCACGACGCCACATGACGTAGGGTTCGGGGTAGCCAGTAGCTCGACAGTACATTGTCACGTTTATACCTTCACGGACCACCATGTCGGTTGACGTCATATTGTCTATTATCATTGGCGGAACTGATGAAAAATTATGAATAATTTAGGCAATTACAGTAAATATATTAAAAGTGATAGGAAATGTGTTGTTCGATTAAAATGTATCAAATTTTCAAAAAATTAAAACCTCTCCTTTGTAAACAACGTGTGTGTTATAATAAAAACATTGTCGTTTAAAAGGAATTATTTTAACAATGACATTATAGGTTTTTGATTTCAATTAAGTAGATTCCTTATTCTTTTACACGAATATATTGAATTGATAGGTTTCATAGAAAAAGATACTTTTTTTGGATTGTCCTTGTTTCGACTGATAATATTTTATGATAAATAATGTACTTAGTACATAAAGCATTGCCTTAACATATTATATATCACAATTCGTTTAAAACAGTTCTTTTTATTTCTGTATACTTACCAACAACTTGCAAATAACCTTTCCGTGAGCGCATAGGGTCGGTGTTAACTTGACACATGTACCAGCCACGGTCCACTTCCTGAACATTTTTTATGTGCAAGTACCAAGAACGGTGATCGTTGTACGACAGGCTGATTCTCGGGTTTTGCGTTATAATATTGTGATGGATGCTTAAGATTGTCTGCGTGTCAACCCTCACCCATGCTACCTAAAAGATACGAAATGTGATTGACTTTAGTGCAACTTTTTAATCAAATGAGTTTTCGTTTTATTTTCCGCCAAGTTGATGTACTTCATTAAAAGTATGTATTGCTGTACTGTATTGCTATACTGCTGGTAATTTATTTATGCTTTCAAATAAAAATTGTTTATTTATGACAGATTTCGATGTTTACTTGTGGTTTGTAGGAATTTATAATTTTTATAATTTTTTTTAAATATACATATAACATTGGAAAGTGTGTTTTAAACAAATTAATTTTAGTAATTTTATTCGTTCATAACAATATCTTCAAGTGGGGCGTTAAACAGGAGCTTAATTGTGAAAGGGTTAACTTGTTTACGGCTTTAAGAATATTAAATTATCCGCTGAAACTCGGTCTCCGGAGAATTCCTCTTATGCCATATAAATCTCGCCACACTACACGACACTCCAATTTCGCTAACTAGCCTTCCTGCATGATTAATAACTGGTGAATCGTGCTACTGGGCAAAGTGATATTAAGTTGCCTTGTTAAAACTTTACTGCGCCGCACCGATGAAGTTGCATGTAATTTTAGTTAGCGGGCTTGAGCTTTAGTGTATGAGCGAATCTCTGTAAAAAAACTTAAAAGAAATTTTCATACAACGAAATGAATTAAATAATGGTTTTTATCGCTTGAGTATGCTTTGTACGTTTGATATACAGTGTTATATATCAAAATAATCACAGCCCTCAGGCAGTAAAGTGCCCGACAATAGGATTACCAGAACGGTGCCATTTAGTATGGTATCCACCCCTTTTTACATTAATAACATCAAGGGAAAAATTCACTGATATTTTTATAAGTCTAAACTTAAGAATGTCAACTATTTACTTTTTTTTGGATTTCAAACAATGATTGTAAGGAATCTCTACTAAATTATATTTTGATTTACTTTAGTGTTACTCTGACCGAATCACTGCGGGATTAGCACAGTTAAAAGTTGTTTATTTATATTCATAGATGGCGTGTGTAACTATGTCAGAATTGAAACAAATTATTTAATTTAACCATTTTTATAAACATAGATAAGATTTTAAAATCGTGAAAGGAAATCTAATATTAAGCATTATTATTTAACAATAGGATAGGTTTATTATAAAAGTTATTATAAAATAAAAAATAATACATTTAGGGCCTGTCCCACCAGATTGTAAATTGCTTGATAGCAATCCAACATATAAAATATGTGATGGAAATGTCGTATTTAGTTCCCTTATCTGACAATGACGTCATTTTTAAGATATCTGAGCCTCTATCAGCCAGTGGTGGGACAGATCTTTGACCTTGTACAGTTATCGATTGAAATATTGTAGTTATTAACTGTGTCAATATTTTTCACTTTACGTATTTGATAGATTTTATTAATTATTTAATGGCTGAATGAAATTAGATTACTGGGTTATGTAATACTTTAGTATTGGATTTATATCGCGTGATTATACCGCCTTAAGTGCAAAGCGGGCTTTGATAAATAGCAATGCGACATTGCAAAGTTGCAACTGTTGGCTTTATTTTGAATTTAAAATGCATATAATCTTTTGGTATTTACATTAGAAGATTGCATGGGTTTAAATATATTCACATCGATTAAAATATTGCAATTAGTAAATACGTCTGTAAATAAATGTAGAAAGGTTTAGTTTTGTGAAATCTTTACCTTTATTGAGAAATTTCTTTTTTCACTGCAGGCCTTACACGTTTTAATATTACGACAAGGTTTATTTTAGAGACTTTACATATCTTTACGTTTTCTATTGCTGAATGTAATAAGTATAATATATCCCTAAATCTAGCTTAAAGAATTTTGACATACATTTTGTAATTTGTTAAATTTTTTATGATTTTAATTAGAGGTTCAAAAATTCGTATCAACATTTTCCGAGACAATCTTATAATCCGTACTAAAAGTGACAAAGCAAATCCATTCACTTTGTATACACTGCTTACCTTGTATCCCTTTAAGTCCTCCACAACGCAAGCCAGGAGCGCATCACGACCGACTGTCACTGTTACATTCGGCACGGGCTCCACAAAGCGCGGGTACAGAGACTCTGCAACAAACATCTTGAATTAATATCACGAATGATATGCAATTTCGATGTAACCTAAATTTAATTAATTTAACGAAGGCTTATACACATTCTTAGTTCAAACACACTGCACGTATAACGCAAATGAAGAGTGTAATTCATTTACAGTATATGATAGTTTAGAAATCTTATTTACTTTCTTGTTTTAGATAAGTTAATACGATAAACTTGAGAGAATTGTCTACTCGTGTTTTCTACCTGAGATACTATCTGGAGGTTGCTTAAAAATGTTTATCTTTTAAGGCCGTTCGTACAATATATTGCTTGAGGTTAGACAAGCATTCTTCCCCGGAGAATTCAGTTCAAACTCCGCCTTTTATATAATACAAATCGGACCACTCATGTCCCCGGACCCTCCACGGTCGTGATTCATTCAAAATACAAATCTGCTTTGGTGCCTCTTCAATATAATGAGATTGCCTTTTGCGCTCCGATGAAAAGCTTGAAAATATTTTATAAAATTAAATTTCGAAGATATGCTGATACTTGTGTAAATATAATGTAATACAAATATTTTTTGTGAATTACAATCAAAAATTATAGTAACTAATGTTTTTAAAAATATTTAGACAATGCCCGTTCAAATAAACAAAAAAACATGTCTAAAAAAGGTAAGAAAATGAATAAAACAGCGATATTCTAATTTGACAATCAAATTTCGATAACTTTTTCTGATTATTGTAATTTCGTGTACTTCCCTCAACCATTTTTTACCTTGAGTAACGCTCAAAGCCTCATAGTCTTACTTTAGATTTAAGTAAAAACGGGAACATCACACAACATTATACCGCGAGTACCATAGACCTGCAATCTATTTGAAATAAACAGCCTGAGACATGGACAAATATCCGCGAATGATTGATGAGAGAAAGCGAATAGAACAAATCCATCGTACAGCCATCAATCTTGGCGTAGGGGCCGCGGGCTCGCTGCAAGCGACGCGCACGCTCTAATGAAAAAAGAGCTTACTGAACACGAATAAACAATCCACATGTCTTGTTTGTAACATCTTTATGACAGATGATGTACCAATACTTGCTACTTTACATTTTACTGATATTTAACGGAATTTGCAACAATTGGAATTGCAAGTGACTTAATTTGTTTCAAATATTACAGGGAAATATTAAAAACTTTGGTTTGCACTTCAATTGTTAAAAATGATTAATACGAAAAAAAAACACAATAACAATTCCGTGGTCATTCGAAATATGAAAACAAATAGCTTGTTCATTAGGCTCAAGTGTTTACGAATGCAGGGGACGGTGCGGCCACAGTTGCCAGCTTCCCACCTCGTCCAGTGCGGCGCTCGGCGGTAACTCGTGTATTTACCTAATTGGAGCTGTACTCTGTGACAAAAGTCCGCGGCCGCCGCCCGCGCAAATTAGATTCCCGCCGAGCCGCACCGAGCCGCGTCGCAACACTGCCCGGAACACTCGCCTCCGCTTAACTTACCTCTTTCACTTTAAATTAACTACCCTTAATTGAAAAACCAAACAAAGACCCATTGCGTTAATAAATTTCAACCCGATAGGGATGTGATAAAATGTATGACGTGCATTGTTCACGTATAAGCAGATACATACGTAATAAGTTAACGAAAGTTTTGAGGTTTACAAATAGAATTTAATTGTTAGAAGTTGAATACAATTGTTTCGAGTGCACTTGAATTAGCCGTTAGTGGGATTACAGCGAAATCACATTGAAGGATCTCATTCCACTTTATAGAGTCCGTGTAACTACATTCATGAGTATCGATTTTATGCAAAATGCAACAATATTGAGTAGCAGGCGCGGAGTGTACGCGCTGTACCGAACACCTATCTAGTGAGCAATTACATCTCTATCGCTGGCGATGCTTGTAAATGGCTGCAAACAGCGTCGAAGCGTTGAAATGTGAGGCCCCAACTGGTGAAATTCTCGCAATTGAAGTCATGTATAAATATGGTCACCAATTAGTGGTAAGGCCTCAACACTGTTTGTAAATTGTCGTTTAATTTATTTAATGTAATACGCTTTGTGTTTAGTTTTGATGCATCAAATTAGCTGCTATAAACTTTGAGCTATAATACAACTATGAATAGAAGTAGATAAATAATTTCAACTGTCACTATTTCTTTGTTTCCTAAAAGAAGTGGAATGGAAAGTGTCATTACCTACGACACATGTGTCAAGCATGTTCATTTAATTTAACAAAGGCAAGACATCGCAGCCATAGAAATCGTTCTTGACATTATCAGGCCTTCGGTATAACTTAGCTCGGTTGTATACATAGACAATATTCTACCTGTGCCCTGCGGTTTCAATAACTTCATGTTAGTCGGTATTGTTAGGTAACAAGGCTTACCGTATCTATCTCAGTATGAAGAAAAAGCTTCCCAAGCTTCCCAATTCCAAGCACTTGTTTACATATTTTTATTTTAAAATTTAGTAAGCATTTAATTCGTAGGTTGTCATTTTTCTAAAAATTGCATCTTTATTTAAAAATATTGTAATTGGGCAAGAAATTTCATCCAGTAGAAAATACTTTAAAGCACTAACGACTTGTGCATATTTGATGCCGGCGGTACAGAGTGGTAAGCCTCCATTATGCAAGTTTTTCTCAAACTGAAACTTCAAGTTTTGAGCTGACCTCCTCACAGCGTACATACAATTTTGTGCCTCGATGAAGTGTAATGGGGCTTTACACAACTTTTAAACTTTAAATTTAGAAAGTAAAGGAAATAAAACCAGTTTAGAAAATCAACTTACAAAAGGTTATATAGTTTTGGCTTTGATAAGTTCATTTATAAAGTGACTTTATTTTTTTACACTAGTGTTTATTTAAATATATGTTTCTGTATATGTATATCGATAGTGAAAACAACACAAAGCTACAAATCGAAGATAACTGTCAAGATTGAAGTAACGCTATGTACATTCTATATTTTCAATTTTTATTTGAATTCCTCGGCTTCCCGCGCGTTATATTCCTCCTCGCCTTTACAAGACCATCGCTCCAGGTACGAGAGCGCTCTACATTTTTTTCGATTCTAAAATGTGAGCAATTTTAAAGTATATAATTATTAACAAAAAAAATCCAAGTAAAGTTAGTATTTTATCTTTTCAGTCTGCAACAAAACCGTGTAAAGGTCTAAAGTATAATAATGGAATTGTAAACACAATCAACTTAATTGTTGTTTTCTCTTGCCTTTAATTATTGTTTTAACAAAGAATTAATTAACTTAACAGTGTTTAATCAGTCTCTTATTCGCAGTCTTGCTTCAAATAACCTTTTAGAGTTAATTTATAATGAAGTAAATATTTTAATTGTTACTTTTCAAAATAAATAAAATCATCGAAAATGAAGTTAAAAGAAAACGAATGGAAAATTTATTTTTAATATGACTTCATATCGATTGGAGATATATCACGAGCAACTCAATTCTTCAATAGCTAACGTGCTAAACTTTTTCAACTTTAAACTAGGTCGCACAGTACGAGGGTAACAGTAGGTGAAAAGCTTCGTGTTTTTTTTTAATAATAGTTATTATTTCAGCTTAAATCTTTTAATAAATAATAATGACTTTTATAAGCGTCTGAAACAAAAAAGGAAACAATAAGAATGAATTCCGCAAAGGAAAATCTTAGAGAATACCTGCTGTATGAAAGTTATAAAAATATCTGCATGACAGGTTGGCGTTATATTGCCGTTATAAATCAGTGGAAGGGGGGTTTAGGCGACAGTGGCGCTGGCCGCGGGCGGGGGGCGAGGCGTGCGGCGTGGCGTGCGGCGCGCCCGTGCCATGTTGTAGACGACACCAATCGGATGCATACACAAACACGACGATCATTTTAGAAGATTACGTGCCGCTACACACTTGACTCGATAAATATGAATACTTTAACATATTTAGCAAATTCTTGAATAAGGAGTATTTCAAATATTTTAATGCCAAACATTTAAATTGGAAAATTTGCCTCACATTTTTCATACCTCTACTAACTCGAAATGGCGAACTTATCAGCTATCGGATGACATTACAAAATCTTGTTTCACTTTGAAATTTGCCAATGTGTGTGCATGCATTTCCTGAATTTAATGGACATCATGAATCTTTAAAGACTAAGCCGATCTTGACGAGTGTAGTATTTTCAATGAATTTTCTTTCGCGAAATTATCTCATAACATAGCAATAGTTCATATTGTATTCTAAAGGAACAATCTTTATAAAACTGTTTCTTTATTCGTATAACGTAATACCCTTTATTATTGTGGTGTGGAAACAGCGAGTCACAAAAAGTGGCGAGTATCGCGTGAAGTGGTTCCGATGCTACGGGCATAGACGTCAAGAAATATGGGCGAACGCTGCGCTCATACGAAATATACGACGTAACCTCGCCGTATCGAACTGTATCGCACGTTGTGTTATTTTTATCTATTTATGTCTTCAAACATAAAGATATTGTTGGTAATATTCACTTTTATACAGTTAAGCTTCTTAAATATCAGTAATAGCATACGGTTCTTATACTAGAATAGATTTTAATAGGAATATTTTATAAAATATTTTTAGTAATTTTTCAAGCCTTAACAAACAATGATAAAATTCTTAATTATTCTAAAATGCAATTACTTACATATTCTTCGTGGATAAAAGACAATTTAAAGTGCTTTTTACAAAAAAAGAAACATTTTTTGCTTATCTTTGGTCTATTTTTTTTGCTTATTCTTGGTCTTTATGCACTAATAAAAGTATTTTAATGTTGATGTAACTAGTATTTATTTAACTAACATTTTGGAGTGACTAGTTAAATCAATTCGCTGCAGCTGACTTGCGAGGTAACTGGCATAAAGTTGAAGAGAGGACGCGCTCCGAAATATCTTTAGAGATGAAAGAGCCGTGAAATGCAAATACGCGAGCTTCATAAACGCAGCAATTTTGCACTATATAAACTTCAGTCGCTCCCGTATATGTTTTAAGTGTACTGAAA